GTAAGTAACACACACATATATATATATATATATATATATATATATATATATAAAATATTGTATATTTTATTATATTGTATATTATAGTATATATATATGTGTGTGTGTGTGTGTGTGTGTTACTTACTGTATTTAAAATGATTAATTCATAATATGAAAAATATGTAAGGATTCTTCAATTCTGTTTGATGGAATTTTACTACACAATTGAAATTTGTAAACCTAAAAAAATTGGCTTAAATATTTTTTTGAGTGTATTTCATATTTTGTTAATACTGTATAGAATTGAAGTGAACTGAACGCATCCGCATCATAGCAAACATAATAAGAGAAATTATATTTCATTTTTAACATCAATAATTTTAACAACATGGGCAAAGCTTTTGTAAAACAAAAGAAAAAGTGAATAATTTGTTTAAATGACTAATACATTCTCCGAACAATAATAAGTAAAAGCCATTTTACAATATTAAAAAGATGCACTACAATTACATTTACAGCAGTGTTGACTTTACTAAATTTGACTAAAAAGCACTGCAAATGTATTTATTTTTAACTTTTAATGTGGATTTAAAAGTATACTGTTGTACTTACCCTTGTTGCTGATTTTGTCTCTTACAAATAATGTCTGGGAAATTATTTATTTTTGCTTCTACAGCAACAGGAAGAGGGTGACAGGAACTGATTTTTTTTCTTTCTTTTTTTTTCAGCAAAACCCTTAAGGTTACAGTGAACCAGAGCTGGAAAAAAGTTACAAAAACAAAAACCAAAGAAAAAAAAATTAAAATTAGCCATACTTATTTGACTCATTAGTTTTTTAACTGAAATTCTTTGTTTTTAGCTTCTAAGCTTCTGTCAATAACATAATGTTTTTAAACTCCAAGCTAATCACTGGTGTGTTTCACTGAGTGCAGGGCACAGGATTGCTATGAGAAAAGTTGGTGAGGTATGCCACACATCCTGTTGTTGTACAGTGGTACCCTTCTTCACACATACAGAAATGTATGTTATGAACAAGTATATAACCCTAAACTGTTTGTGTTTTAAATGTTTAAACAGGTTGCTTCTGTAGTTCTGTGTCGCTGAAAGATGTTAGTCGTGTTCATCTTGTTTCTCCAGTTGCTCCAAAAGTCTGTTCTTAAGCCCCGTTCACACCAAGACTATAAAGATAGATAAGACTATAAAGATACCGATATTAGCGTCCACACCAGCGAACGATAGCATCTGTTTATTCTAAGCACACGCTCATCTGCCGCTTTAAATTATCGAGCTCATTACAGCAGGATGGATTCTGATTTGTCAATTTTTTATCGTTCATCAGCTGGAGAAAAATCGTTTTGAAAGTGATTCCAACAATATAATTTCTCTCTGTCTTTATCGTTATAGCTGTGGTGTGGACTCTGCTATTCTTTAATATTGAGAACGCTTTTTAGAACTATATCTTTATCATTATCTTTATAGTTAT